ACAGTATTTATTTTGAGATGAAAGAGAAAACAATTGTCTGTTACAATTCTGCAGCCAGCCTTCTGATTAAAGTTTCAGAATATGCAACTCCCAGCTTCAGGAAAGCACACACCACTGGATACCAAATACTCTTCAAGCTGCCACACTTGTGAAGGTGACAGTGTCATAATTTGTGTACATAAGCCTCTTTCATGAAAGATGTAATTTTTCATGTTTTCAAAATGCATTCCATTCCAATAAAGTGTCTATTGAGATGATCCATTGGACCTGCTGCAGGACTTTCTCACTTGGCACATACTATACTTTTTCCTATGGGCTGTGACCATTCTGGGATTCAAAGGCCCCATTTTGAGATTTGATAATTCAATTAAAGACATCATCTGGTGATTTTGAGCAGTTCATTCTACTATTTTGGTGATTTAAGATGCTAATGAATTTGACATGAACTTCCATAGAACTGGTTCTAAGAAGGCAATTCCCTCTTGGGACCCAGACAGAGATTTTAGTGCTTCTAGGTTTCTTGAAGGAGCCCTGGTTGTGCAGTGGGTTCAGCGCGGGGTGGCTAACCAATGGGACACAGATGAGGCTGTCCACTACTGTCAAGAGGTGCAGTCCTGGAAACCCGGGGAGCGGTTTCACTCTGTCCTACAGGGTTGCTATGAGTCAGCTGACTTGAGGGCAGTGGGTTTTATTTATTTTTGATAGACTGGTTCATTATTTTGTCTTTTTCCCTTAAAGAAGACATGAAATCTGGGAAAGCGAATTACTGCCATTGGGAGGGGACTTCCCAGTGTAGGAGGTGGTCAAGCAGAGTGGGTGAAAGTCATGCTAGTCTAAGCCCCTATTCTACCCTCACTAACTGTAGATCTCGATCGAGTTACCTAACCTCTTGGCAACAGTAGAGCTAGCACCCTAGAGCTATTTAGACTATTCGGCAAGTAAACGTGCTTATAATAATGGCTGACACTGCTAAGAGAGGACGTGCCCCATAGTTTAGGGCAGACAAAGGGGCTTGGAAAAGTGTTGTAGTCATAAGGATCGATGCTATGTAGTATTTTTAAAAATTAGTTGGCTTATGTTTAACAATTTCACCAACACACAGATTACCAATCATTCTTTTCAGTAGTTCAGTCACATTCATAAGAGTTGTGCAACAACTGCCCCCCCCCCACCCCAGTCAATTCGAGGACATTTCTCCTTCCTTGTTAGCTCCTCATTTCCTGCTAGCCTCTCCTGTCATGTCCCTTTGAATCTATCAACCCAATTGCCTCTATAAATTTACCTCATCTGGGTACTATGTGATATTTTGAAGCCATGGTTTTAACTTACTTTCTGGGGTCTCAACACTTATAGGATACAACACATTTGCCCCTTTGGGTTTCTGAGGCTATCAATCTTTACTGGAACAGGGAGCCTCATTGTTGTCCCTCAGAGCTGCTGGTGGTTTAGAACCGCTGACCTTTTTGGTTAGCAGCCTGCCGTGTAACCCACTATACCACTAGGGATCCTTAGCTTCTGAACCTTCTAATCAGTAATCTACTTTTTTCTTGCAGGGTTTGATAAGACCTGAGGACAGACAGACTTACTGTTATCCCTTGATTAAAAACAACAATAACAATATCCCAAACCCAACAACAACTCCTTGTCATGGAGTCCATTCTGCTGCCTGGAGACATGTGGTACAGAGTAGAACTGCTTCATGGCGTTTTCTTGCCTGTAACCCTCATGGGCGCAGTTTGCCTGGTCCCTCTTTGGTGAAGTCTGTGTGGGTTTGTATCACCAACCTTCATGTTCTCACTTCTGAACTGTGCACCACAAAGTCAGATGGAACTGTTTCTGAATGAAGTAGCGAGTGGAGACGGGTGTGGCTGGCTCCCTACCAGGGCATTTGCTGTTTAGCTCCACTCCGGAAATGAGAACTTGAAAAAACAGCCTATGTGGTTTTACTGCATACTCTCAAACCCTGCCAAAGCCATTTATAATACAGTGAGCAAACACGGCCTACCATCGTCTGAAGCCAGACACCCTGTGCTTCAGAAGCAACTGATAAAGGAGTGTTCAAACTACTGTGCAGAAAGAGACAGGAAATGACTCTTGGGGAGCTTCAAAGTTTTAATTGTGTCATAACTGCCCTCCATCGGCTTTCTCTTAAAGCCGACAGCTCATACTGTGATTCCAAGTACTTTGAGTTTTGCCGTGGCAACTTCTCCTAACTTCCACTGGGGAGTGAGACCGACCCCATCAGGGCTGACTCATCACCTTCTCGCCTGGCTCAGTGATGACAGGAAGTCTCAGATTAGGAACAGGTTTCTAAGTCTGTCTTTAGGTTGACTTTGTGTGTAAACTGGAAACATTGGCTACGGTTTGTAGCCAATGCCAGACAACTGTTTGTCTTTGTATACTCATATATTGTTTTGTTTTGTGTTAATCATTTTATTGGGAGCTCATACAACTCATTACAATCCATACATATATCAATTGTATAAAGCACATTTTTACATTCATTACCCTCATCATTCTCAAAACATTTGCTCTCCACGTTAGCCCCTGGCATCAGGTCCTCATTTTCCCCCTCCCTCCCCGCTCCTCCCTCCCTCATGAACCCTTGATAGTTTATAAATTATCATTTTTGTCATATCTTACACTGTCCGATGTCTCCCTTACCCACTTTTCTTTTGTCCATCCCCCAGGGAGGAGGTTATATGTAGATTCTTGTAATCAGTTCCCCCTTTCCACCCCATCCTCCCACTACCCTCCCCGTATCGCCACTCTCACCACTGGTCCTGAAGGGATCATCTGCCCTGGATTCCCTGTGTTTCCAGTTCCTATCTGTACCAATGTACATCCTCTAGTCTAGCTGGATTTTTAAGGTAGAATTGGGATCATGATAGTGGAAAGTGGGTAGTACTCATATATTGTATAATACCTTTCTATGCATAAAACATTGAAGTAATCCTTGTAGATAACATGCACACATCTTTAACATAATATAATAGTAATAATAACAATCATAGTTTGAGGTATGTTGTAAAGTAGGACCTTTTTTGTTATTATGAACCATTGCAAGTATATTGAATTTTTAGGCTTTGTGGGGCTTGGTTCATAACTACAGATTGTATGTAAGTCAGCCATTAGTCACCCGAGAACTGCCTGCAATCACAGTCAGAGGAGACAAACTCGTAATAACTTCACGTGTTCCTTTTATGTCATTATTGCAAATATTTGATTGTCTTTAACTTCCAAGTAAGCATATCTGTGTGCATATATACACATTCATGCATATGTAGATAGTCCGTTTTCTTGGTAGTGGCCCATGAAGGCAGGCTGATCAGTTCTTTGGCGTGGACTTTGACAACTACAGGGTTTGGGCAGAGCTTTGAGTATCTTGCTGCCCTGCCTGAACACCTATTACAAAGCTGTGGTGTGTGGCGGTGCCAGGTCCCTCTGTAATTTCCCGTTGCCAGTGTTGCATCACTAGCGCTGGAGGGGATGGCTCTGGTTTCACCGGAAGAACCACCCGGTGACTTACTCTTAGTTTCTCACAGCAAAAGAGACTTCTGCGGTGGGTGTTAGTGTATGAGTTTTATTTGTAGGTGCAGCTAAATCTGATTCTGCCCACAGCACACGGATTCATTGGAAAAATAAAGCAAACCCAAACCTAAAGCGACAGAATCAATTCCAACTGGCAGTGGCCCTAGAAGACAGAGCCGAGCGGCCCCAAGGTGCCCCAGGTTGTAAGATTTCTTTACGGAGTCAGATGGCTTCATTTTGTCTTGTGTTCCTGGTGGGTTCAAACCCTACTGACCCTTTCGTTGACAGCTGGTTGCTTTAAACACTGTCACCAGGGTTTCTTATGGCTCAGTATCGAATAATTGCAGGTGTTGCCAGATGAAATTCCCGATGCCTGCGAAAAGGACCAGGTAGCTAATGGAAAATGTAACTTGCATTTTTCTCTCATCAGCTGGTGGGCCTTGGTTTATAGAAATTGTTTGAACAACTGTCTTGGGTAAAATTTCAGGCAACAATGTATCTCCCTGACTTGTGTAAATGGTGTGTTTGAAATAGCTGATCACAG